ATATATATATATATATATATATATATAAAATGTATTTCACAATACTACTGTTTTTACTATATTTATTTTTAAACAGATGCATAATTCATTTAAATAAATTATTATTATTACATTCATATTCAAGATATTGATAATATTAAAAACTTAATAATACTAGAATAATAGTCATAGCAACTCTAATTCATTCAATCAACAGATCTTTTATGAAGTCAACTAGAAATTTTAAATGCACTCAAGAGTTCCGCAGTGTTTATTTGTAGATTTCATAGTTAGTCTTTGTATAGCAGTTCATAAATTAACAGACAAATTTGGTGAAAGAACGTAGCATGCCACAACCTGTCTATGCAAAAATATATTCATGCGAAATGTGCAAAAAAAGACTGCAAGTGAAGACATTTACATTATATCAAATTACAACCCCATGGAGTATTTTGTCATCATTTAAATATTGTTGAATTATGGAGAAGTGTCTGTTTATATGACTATAATGTACAGGCAAGTGTTTCTAAACAACTCTCTGATGGGAAGAGAGTGAGTAAGCCAGCCACCCACATCCAGTGCCTCCCTTTGGGAAACACCCACATTACAACTAGCAGTCAAAAATACAGAAATTTGGTCTCATTATTTTTCCCCTCAGTTCCCCATTGTGCAATAGTACCACTACCATCTAGTGTGTGCAAGTTATAATCTAGATCAGTGGTTCTCTACTGGTTTTGTTTCACCAGCTAAATTGGACATAACACTAGCAAACAAACAACAGTACAAAAATTGTTTAGCAAGAGAAGATGCATGTGACACACATATACATACATACTAAGACCCCTGAAAGGAGCAGCCGGATGAGTGAGAGAGAGAGAGATGTTGCCATACTAAAAATACAGCTGACCAAATGGACATGACCATATAGGATGACTTAGTATGAGAAGTGCAAGTCAAGGGAAGACACAGCTGTAAGTAGTAATCTCAGAGGAGAGAACGAGAGGGAGAGAACTGGACCGCAGGCTGGGCTGCTATTTCAGAACTCTTAGGAAGCAGAGGCAGGAATGTCTGCTCCCATCCAGCAGTGCGCTAATGGGATGTAAATCCCGCTAGTGGAGTGGGCTGAGAGCGAACTGCAGGGAGCCCTCTCCTAACCGCCTTGCACACCACACTGTCCTGATTGCCTTCTATTTTTATACGGCGCTACAGCCTGTCACCACGGGAGCACTACCCTATTGCTGTGGAGGTGGAAGAGCGATTGTTGGTGGGTTTAGTAGGAGGCTGTGATCGTGATGCCATGGGAAAACACATCACTCTACCCCACAACTGCGGGAAAAAACAGCAGAGCGACAGGCCCGACACCTGCTTGATTTTTCCTCGCACTGACATACGGCCTGGAACCAGAAGCCAAGTCAAACAAGAATATGTATGAGGCAAAGACTTAACAGGCCCATAAATCAATCATATTATTACATTTGAAAGCAGTGCTGGAGGGCACACACTGCTGAGGTCTATTTATTGTGTTGTCTCAACCCAAAGACAAAGTTCCCTTCAGAGTTGTGTGGCTTAGTATGTGTCTGACAAGTGTGCAGAGTGTATATTTATGTGTAAAGTGACCGAAATTAGATCATATCTAATTAGATGTGCTAACCAGTGTCAATCATTAACACTCACCAAGTGCAAATGTAAAGTAAAACTGGCTAAATAAATAAAACACAGTTGCTTGTTGTTAGTTATGGTAACTTAATGCACGGCTTAAAACAATATTCAGAGATGTTCAGTGACGTAAGTGGTGATGTGAGAGACAGGATTATTATTAAATCCATTAAAAAAAATTTAATAACTTGAAAAATATATATATAAAAAAAATAGCTACAACATTTCTCATTTTCATTGTTTACAGTAGTAAAATGACTAAAACTAAAATCAATAAATAAAATGAATAAATACTACATAGACATATTTTTAAAAAAATTAAAAAAAATAAATAAATAAAAACTACTACAACTTTAGCTAAAATTAAAGTAACATTTAAAAAATACATTTAAATAATCCAACTGCCATAAGGACAAATATATACTGTATTTTTTATATAAAAAATAACAATACAGCTTCATGACTGGTAAGAACTATTTATGACTAGTAAATGTTTGCGATTCACACTAATTCCACAATAAGGTGTGACAGAAAGGAAAATTTGGATAATAAAAATCATTTATTGTTATACACAATGTATCGGCACCATATTATTAATCAGATTATATGTGATTTTTTTTTTAATTATCAGAAATAAATATTGACAAATGTTTACATTGATACAGTATAAATAATGTATTATATTTAAATAATCCCAATTTTATATTCCTTGTTTTAAGATTCAGATCATCATCTACCATTAACTTCAAGGGACAGCACTAGACTATGGTAAAAATTGTACTCTTTGAGAGCATGCATATATGTTTTTTTTTAAACAAAGTAGTTTATATTTACAATATTGTTTATTTATCGGTCAGACATTTCAATATCAGCACTTCCCTAATTTTTGTGCATCCTTCCATTTCCTTTGAATAAAGGCTTAGTCAAACTTTCTAAAGGCAACATGTATTTGCACACACCTGATCCTGCCTGCAGCCTCTCTTTCTCTCATTAGTAAAAAATACAAACACCTGTTTACCCAGGAGACGAGGACTATATGATGCAACAACACTGCCCTTGCAAACCATATTACTTCATCATTGCATCTAGGTTCATTTTTATTTTTTTCCCTTCCCACATCCCTCCATCTCCAGTGGGGAATAATGTTGTGACATAATAAAGCAAGCCTGGTCTGACGGCCCAAAATATCCACCATTTAAAACACACAAACTCAAATCCCTCTCCTCTCAGCTGCACCTGCTCCACATGTTTGGTATGTGGGTCAAGACTAAGAAGGTTTTTCTTCTCTTCAATAAGCTGGACTATTCCTGCCTGCAGCAGCGTCATGTGCCACCACACGGATCTTTTCCGGTCCAGAGCACGGCACACAGAAGATACATGGCGAGTAAACCAACTGATCATGTGATGCTTTGGAGATAAATGGATTGTTTGGCTTTACAAGTTCTGTTGAGAACAGTGTGATCAAACCAAAGCCACATTGAGTTTTGCAGATGATACAGCGCTAAGGACCCAAGGGAAATGAAGAATTACCTCTTTAAAAAAGTGTCAGTTCCTGTAGCACTCACTAAACTTGCCTTGTTTTGGTTCATTCTCTCTACAGTGTTAACCTAACCTCTTGACACATGTCAGTCAAGCATCTCAGGGAAATCCAGGATGTGGAACAACCAGCATCTTTGTGTGGCTCCTGTTGCGTGCCTACTTTGAGGGGATTCTAAGTGAGACGGACAGGAAGAGGGGGAAGGGACCTTGCATGGGTGTATTTAGAGTTTGGAATCCAACTAGAAGGAAATAGGTTTTAAAAGGTTTAGGCAATGGATAAGATTAACACACATAAAGGATGGGTAGTTCCAAACACTTGTTTACTTTCTCTCACATTTTGAACTTAAACTTTAATTTTCTACTAAATGGTTTATTCCGAAAGTTTGTCACTTCAGTAAGTTAAATAATAATCAATAAAGAAAAAGAAAAAAGAAAAAGAAAAAGAAAAAAATATATATATAATTTTTTTTTTTTAAATAAGTAATTTGGCATAATTATTATTATTATTTCTTAGAGAAAAACTGCTCACTGCATATTATTATTATTTTTAAATGTCAACTAAAAATTGTTCACTAAAGTCATGTGGCGCAACTAACATACTGAAACAAAGAAAAAAGGGGAAAAAATCAGGAAGTTATATCATAATGTTATGATCCTGGTCTGTGTTCCCAGAGATATGTATAGGTAGATGCCCTATAGCGGCTGTTTCTATGGGTTGCCATATTGGAATGGTCAAAGCCAGTCATAGTTATATGCATGCATGAATATCTATATCTGCAATAGACTTAAGCAGATGATTTGGCTAAACTAACAATACAACAAGATGAAGCTGTCAGCTAACACGACATACTTTATTTTAAAAACCTGTAATATTGAATTAATACATATTAAAAACACAAACCAGCACATTCTTACAAGTTTATCCAATTTCTTCAGGAATTTAAATACTGGTGGTCTTTACTACCAGAGGCTGTGCAATGTTCCGGCATCTTGAAACTCACTGAATTGTATTGTGAGTGATGACACATTGACTGTTCCAAGGTGGCGGACATGTCGAATGCGGAATCTACCTATACATATCTATGTGTGTTCTTGGTCTTGTGTTGGACTCTTATTTTGAAGTGTATTTTATTCCCATTGTTTCTGTGTTCACTTCCTTGTTCTGTTCCTGCTTGCCTTGCTGCCTTTTTTGTCGCTATAGTTACCCTTCTTTGTTCCCATGCAGAGCAACTAATCACCTCCACCTGTCCCTTGTTAGCCCTAGTTTTCTTGTGTATAGACTGTATATTCCAGTGTTTTCACATGTGATTTGTCAGGTCTTGTCCTACATGTAAGTTTGGTGTTCTCATTCTGTTTCCTTGTTTGCTCTTTTTGTTCCTGGCTATCTGGTCTATGTAGTTTTTTTATGTTTATTTTGTTAAAGGGGTCATATGATGCTTTTTTAAAGATCATTATTTTGTATATTTGGTGTAACAGAATATGTTGACATGCTTTAATGTTCAAAAAACACATTATTTTTCAAATACTGTACATTATTGTAGGTCCTCTATGCCCCGCCTCTCTCAAACGCTTCGTTTTCTACAAAGTCCCGCCTTCCGACAAGCGCAGTCTGCAAGCACGCGTCGGAAATGTAACGCCCCTTACCATAATCACGAGCTTCA